CGCCTAATGGAAACGAATATGCTGGCCTAACTTCATGTGTTAGGAACTGGTAAATAAAGTAAGGTTATTGGGAAATGGCTGCCAATCATGCGGCAGCTTCGACCGCCATTCGCCGTTCCCTTTCGGCGACCTCTGACCTTTGGCTGCCTTTGGCATGATGTGCGATGCGCGCTGGATGCACGGCTGCCTCGTCTGCAATTGGTTTTTAATTTAACTAAAGTGCGCAGCACGGCCAGCGAAGAATAAAATGGCCAAAAGGGGAGGGCCATCAAAAGAGAGGGGGAGTGAGGGAGAAAGTTGTCAAGGCGATTTAATGGCGTGCAATTCTAAGAAACGCAATGCGCGTAGAACAGTCCTCAGTCCTCGGGTCCGGAGTCCCGAGTTCCAAGTCCCATGTCACAGTTCCATCTGCCCATCTGACCCATCTGCCCATCTGGCGTGTCCTTCGTTTCGCAGCCATTGTCAGGCCGGGCACGCCATTGCCATTTCTGAATGTCCTCAGTGTATTTATGCCTGTGTGTGTGTGTGCGAGAGTGTGTCGTGGTGTGCGTGTGTGAATCAACAGGCCACGCGCGACACCATAAAAACCGAAACGGAAAACGGACGCGAGTATATGTATCTGGTATCTGCTGGATACAAAGGACAACGCAGCTCGCGCGGTTCAAATGGGCAAAAACAAGCGAACGAAACTTCGCACATAATGAGTTTTTATGGGCTGTTCAAAGAGAGAGAGAGAAAGAGAGAGAAATTGGGGGAGGGGAAGGGGGTTCTCCTTATATATATCCCTCTGTGGAACAGGGATCCCAGCTACCAAATACCAGCTCCCACTTTCCAGATCCAAACTCCATCATCATCATCATCATCACCGCCATCGCCATCTCCTAATTGCGACTGCAGTCGCTCCCGTTGACAAAACAATTCATTCTTTCGTTCATTCTGATATTTTTTTCTGTGTGCACAACACACAAATCAGCGTAAAATTTGTCTACGGCCAAAGTTTTATGGAGCTGTAACTGCGACAAAGTGTGCTGCAGTCGGGAACTGAGGAAGCCGTCGCTTTCGAGCAAAAAGCCCGGGGGAACTAAGTACATGGTTTACTGGGTAATAAACAGTGCACCAGGACAGGGAACCAGGACATTGTAGCGAATGCACGGGAAACTACTCGCCTGCCAGCTGCTCTCAACACACTGAGAAAAAAGTACGAACAAATTTCTAAAGAAATCAGGGACTTTCTTTACCTAAGAACCAAATTCCGAATAAATAAACCTACAGCATAATAATAATTTAAATTCCCAAAATAAAAATATTATTTTAGAGTTCTTTGAAATAGTTCCAGAATATTTTGCATCGCATTTTTTTCACATAATGAAATTTGTAGTAAAGTCTTTATAGACAACTTTATTGCATTCTTTGCAAAGGTTGTAGTAAATTGAAGTTGTAAACCTGGGAAATATTTTTTTTACTGAGCTTCAGGTTGCAAATAAGGTTTTAATATACATGCAGAGTATTCCACCTTTTCAAGGGACCTTTTGCACATATTATTTTTCTCTCAGTGTTCTTAATGCCTGGTAAACTTCAACAGTTTTTCGCAGGAGTGTCTGGATCATGACTCCGACGATTCCTTTGCAACCGAAAACCGAGTGGATCATCTCTGGCTCCACCTGGCTGGGATTTTTCCGGCGGAGAGTTCAAGATCTTACACATTCAGTTACATTCGAAAGCGGCGAAACGGGTAATGAGAAAGGGGGCGTACCGCAGTGGGCGTGGCTGGTGTGTGGAGCAACTGCTCATTAGCGTGGCTCACACGAAGCTATTAATTCAATTATTTACACTGTTTCTGGCAGCTGACAAGCCCCGCACCCATTTCCACTTCCATTGCCTTCGCCTTTGCCATCGCCATCGCCTTTTCCTCTGCCATTTCCATTTCCATCGGCCACATCTCGTGTCTTGTTCCGGGAAACTGTTGCTCGTCGCCCGAGGAAATTTCCCCGACTCCCCAGGGCGAAAATGGGGGTGGGGGAAAATCGAGTGGCGGTGGTGATAGCGATGGGGGGAAATGCGGGCTGTGGACTTAATTATGCATATTAAGCTGAGTGTAATTTGCGTTGCGAACGGAACACCCGTATGTGTTGAAACTAACCCAAAATAGTCTGCAGTCGGCAATGCAGTTGCAGTTGCCTCTCGAACAGCTGCAATTTGGATGACAGAATAATAAGGGATTTATGCCACAGGGGGGAAAAGGGGGCGTGGCATGTGGAATGGGCGGCATCGGTGAGCATTTCATTAGCTGCGCATTTACATTTCATTGCACCCAATTTGTGCTGTCGCGTCAACAGTTGCCAATCCCCTCGTCCTGCGTGTTTCGTCCTTCGTCCTGCGATTCCCCACCCCCCGAATCTCTGGGAATTGTGTGCGTGCGAGTAATTTAATTCGACGGTCGTGCCATAAAAATGAAATGCACAACGTGATGTGCAAGGACAAGTAGCCACGGTTGGCCATAACCGAGTGTGTCCATAGATCCCCACGCATCTTGCCAATAACTTTATCTACTCCGCACATGTAAATGGAAACGCCGATGCCGAACGACGGCGGACAACAAGAATCGGGTTAATAGCTGAGGCCTGGCCCAAAAGCCGGCCAAAAAGCTTATCAAAGGCAAGGACATTCCGTGTCGCTGCCATTTTCTATGGCTTAACTCAAGTCCTGTTGCCGTGGCCAAAAATAGATTCGAAACTTCTTCGGCAAGGACGCTCTTGTTATATAAATAATCCATGGAAAGTGGGAAAGCATTTGGCTTTGTTTTAAGAAATTAACTATGATTGTTTATAGGTTCCAATAGGAACTGATAGAAGTATGTTCTTGGGTTTCTAAAAGGATTGTAACATATTTTTAATTGTAATTAAAATTATAATCTGTGGAAAGTGGGAAAGCATTTAAGAAATTAGCTATGATTGTTTATAGGTTCCATTGAGAACTAAAAGAAGTATGTTCTTGGTTTTTCAAAAAGAATTGTAATATATTTTTAATGGTAATTAAAAGTTATACGATTTTTACATTAGGTAACCAACTGCTATTTCCTTGCTCATCGACATACATTTTTCCCACCAATTGTCCTTGACAGAACCTTGGTAGAAGGAGACAGCTGAGTCCTGCCACCACTGCAGTGGTGGTGGTGGTGGTGTCCTCTCGACTTCCCCACCATTTACTCCGACTGCATCTGGTGTTGCTGTTAATTATCCTGCCGTCGTGCTTATTACCTTAATGTCGGGTTGCACATCGCATTGAGTGCGCCACAAGCAGCCTGAAATTGCCAGGACAATGCCAACCCATCCGGACGCAATATGAACGGGAACAGGACGACGGCTACGTGCCACGGATGGCGGCCACAGGATCTCGCACGGGACTCTCATCCTCGTCCTCGTGTAATTGCCAGGCAGCAAATGGCCAATGTCAATTCGGAGGCCCACCTCTCGTCGGCCAAGGATGGCTAATTAAAGTGCATGCAAATCTGAATCTGAATCCGAATCCGAATCTGAATTATCTGCTGACTGTGTCGGCGCCACAATCATTAATGTGCATCGACGGCAAATGGTGTGAAATCGAGAGATAGCTGTTCCATTTCGATTTCGAGTCGTTGCGTATACGCCATGTGGCAATTTACGCACTCAATGGCAGGAGATAAAGGCAAATTGTCCTGATCATGACACACATGCCCTCGGGTGGACTTCTGCGTATGAGCTTCTTAGAAGTTTAGTCGAACAAGTCGAACAAGGCGCGAACTAAACGGATGTTGAAATGGAGCCTCTAGGCCTTTAATAGTTTGAATTGAATCAAGGCAAGCAATTAGGCTTAATAAAGAGGATGTCTAAGTATTAGTGTTAGATGGATTAGGTTCTACTAGCAGAAGTATTAGAACTTTATCAAAAGTTGTTCGTTTCAAGGAAAACATTTCGCTCTGTTTAATGCATACAAGTTGGAAGACAAATTAGGTATGAAATCTATAACATCAAAGTAATAGTTTAATGTTGTAGTTATTTAAATTTAATATATTGGAACAGGTCCGAATATATTTAATATCAAAGTAATAGTTTTTTATTGTAGCTAACTCTTCCCTTAAAATCCCTTAAATTTAACCAGGTTATTAAAGTTAATCTACGAAGTTAAGCAGACGTGTCAGTCTCTTTTAAAGTCATAATTTAAATGGCTTGCCCTTTCCGAGAACCCTTAAATTTGAAGAAACTTTGAAGGGATATTGAAATGACTTACAATTTACTAGATGGCCCACCCATTCTACAGCCGTATCTTAGCAATTTTTGGTTGGTCTCAAGTGAATCAGGACTCGGCATTTTTCCTACTTGCGAATTTATATTCATTACCAAACCCTTTTCTTTCAGCAAGTTTTGCTTTGGTTTGGCTTGGCTTTCCCCTCTTACCCAACTGCTTATTTATTTGTTTTCATTTTCATTTTCCCGGCTTTTCCCGGCTGGCTGCCAGGCAGTAAGCCCTGAAACACCAAACCAAAGGCTGGCAGGCAGGCAGGCAAATCCGAAGCCGAAGCCAAATCCAAATCCACAGCCAAGGGTTTCCTCCGGTCTGGTTGAGCATAAGTTGACGACGTGCCTGCCACAGGACTCTCTTCCTTTCCCTTAACCCCTTAACCCTCTAAACCCCCCTAAACCCCCTCTTTATGTTTCCCCGACTGTTTGCCCGACTGACTATTTTTAGTGCCACTGATTTGTTTTGCCTAGTATCTGAGTATCCAAGTATCTGCGTATCTGAGACCCTCCGTCGTCACTTGCGGTTTTGGTTTGGCTTGGCACTCGGAGCGACCAAAAGCGGAAGGACCTGACCCGCAGACATGTCTTAAAGCCAAAGCCACGGGGGCTCTGAAACCGAAACCGAACTCGGAACCCGGACTCCGGAATCCTTCTGCGGTTTGTTCCCCAGGATTAGAGTGTCTGGAGTGGAGAGGAATGTGGAGAAAGGAGTAGGGAACTCACCTTGACGAAGTGGTAGAAGAGAACGGCTCCCACGGTGGCCAGTGCGAACCAGACGAACACGGCGAAGGTCGAGATGCTGGAGATGTCCAGGATGTGGAGCAGCTGCGAGGTCACGATGGCCGCCCCCTGGCAGAAGAGGAAGGGCATGAAGAGCCGCTCGAAGATGTCCCAGGGAATCTCGTGCGACTTCTGCGGCAAAGCCGAAATCGAACCGCGCCGCAGGGATGCACGTCGTGAGGCACGTCGCTATTGGAGGAAAAAGATGGGAATTAGTAGTCACAATAAATCATATATATCTCGTTTTAATTATTCATTCCGTTTCGCCGAATTAGCATTTCATTTTCGAACTATAAATAGCCAACCCCACACACAGCGAAGCAAAAAGAGATTGGTTTGTTTGGCAAATATTTAAACAATTGCGGCGCGTTTGTTTGTTTTTGTGTTTTGATCGATAAACAAGGCGAAAATGCAAAATGTTGCACACAGCTATTGTTTTTGTTTCAAGGGAGATATGATATTCTCCCAGCTTGCCTTCGCAGTTTTCACCTCGTTCACTGAATGTTTTCCCTTTTAATTAGGTAATTTGTTAGCCAAACACTTAACAGAAAGATTTCCTCAACTGCCAATCAACGAAGGCTGTTTAAAGTCTTTTGAGGAATAGATTTCTGTTCGATTTTTGACTATTGACTTCCGTTTGCTGAACATTTCAGACATTTTGGGCATTTTTCCTCTTTGAAATCGATAATATTTCCACATGAGGACTCTGGCCAATATTGCCAATGCTCAATGGCTAATGAAACTGACGGACAGAGGCACATATTTGCCAACAATACATCATCGGCTATTTCATTAGAGCTGCTAACCAATTGCAACCACAGGATCCGGAGCGTCCACAAGAACTTACATATGCTTGCATTTATCAGAAACAGAACCGAACCTAACCCACACATTGACATTGACGTATAGCAATTACACATGACGTGCACAATACTCTCGAAAAGGAGGAAAAGCCACTGCGGGGAAATGGCTGGAAAATGGGGGGTAAAAAGAAAGGGTGAATGGGGGAAAGTGGCTGCCACAACCGCCACCCCTTTTGGCCAATGGCCATAAATCAACGACAGTGCGAAATAATCAAATGGTGGCATCTGCATAAATACAGAAGCCAATTGATTTATTCGGCCTGGAAATAAACCAATTCCATTTTGGTTTCTTCAACTATTTCGTTTGGCTTTCCCCTCAATCTCAAATTGTAAAATCGCCGGATCTATTTTTACCACCTTTTGCGGCGTGGAGTATCAAACAGAAATCAACGATGTCATTTCGAATTGCTTTCGTCATCCGGCGACCTTGCCACCGATTTTGGGATTCGTTTATTCGTTTATTCGGTTGGCCCACCACCGATAAGTTCTGTGACTAATGCCGCATTCTGTAAGGCTTACATATGCCCGAGAGTCCGCCTGCGACAATTCCGAACCGATCTACCATATAGTATATATATGCGTTTTGCCGGTTCAAATACGTACTTGTATTTATGTGGCTGCGCCCCACGATTTATGAACTTTATGGGGTCGCTCAGCTGCCAAGAAATCGGTATCCGGCGAATACTTATTGGACTGCTTCGGTTTGCTTTGGTTTGTCTCCAAGCTTATTTTTATTATTAATAACGATATGGTTATGTATTTTTAGACGATGCGGTCGAATCAAATGGAATGGAAAGTTCTGGCATTGCAAAAAATCTGGCAAAGATGTATTTCGCTCTGGGGAGGAATTCACTTTTATGGCAAATGCGGCTCTGGAATTTCCATAATAGCTTTCTATTTTGGAAATCAGATTATATTGAAGGTGAAGCTGAAATCATTTAAGTTGCATTTAATGGCAAGCAGACAGTTGCGTTTTGACAAGTCTGTTGCGAAGCACTTTGGTGAGAAGTATGCAATTTCTAGTGGCTCATACGTACGTTGACCCACTTGGATCGCGGCCATTAAGTGAATTTTTGTAATTAATTTGGCGGCCCGTTCTGAACACTGCATGACTTCCTGACTGCCACTCCCCTCCCCTTTCCCGCCTTTCCCCTCTTCCCTTCTATTTCCTTCCATTCCCTTCTATTTCTTTTGTATCCTCCATTAAAGAGGACCCTTTGGCTGCGGCCAAAATGGGCGTGGCTGTGCCGGGAAAACTGTGCGCTGGAATTTGTGTATTGGCATTTCTGGGTTAAGCTAACTGGGCTAAGTGTGGCTAGGTATACACAGCGCTGCGACAATAAATTTGGCTTGGGTAAACACACCGTACACAAATGGCTTTCGGCCGGAGGGTAGATTTCACTTACCATATTGTTATCGAAGACCTGCATGACGGATGCTGTTTTTCTTTTCTATTCTGCAGAGAGAAAAGGGCTCCGAACAAAAAGGATTACCGATCGATCGAATCACACACACTCACTTTCCCAAAGGGGGGAATTTATCAATACGTATAATATATAGTATTCCCAGTTATTGCTTATATTTATTCGATTTATTCTGATTGTTCCGTTGGCGATACGGTTTTTGGGGCCCGTGGCCTGGGCGCTCTGAAACACGACGTAACACTAAGCGGTACGATCGAGTGCCGCCGCCGAAAATCTTCGCTCGCCAATCTCTGCCGACAGCGACGTCGCAGTCGCCGTCGACGTCGACGTCAACGTCTGTTGTATTTCAAAATGCTGCAGTGAAAATGTCGTTTTGATTTTTTAAAAATATATCCGAAGTATGTGCAGACATGCGTGTGCGAGATACATATTCGGCTATTTAGATAAATAAATATATTTAAATTTGTTGCTCTTGGCGCTGCCCAACTGACGCCGCAGCATCGATGATTATTTTTCCACAACACAAGCCCCAAAAATCAGGCACTCGAATATATATACTATAGATACTTTTGTTGAGTTCTGTGGGTGAAATATACTTGCTGCCACATTTGAATATTGCTTTAAAACGTACGAACTTTAAATACAAAGTTTATGCGCATAAATATGTAAGGCAAACGCCGCATTTTTAACCCCGCTCCCTGATTTTGGATTTTATTTTCTATTTTTTGGTTTTTTGTTTTTGTTTTTTGGGGCTGTCCCCCTGTGACGTCATTGTATGGTTGTTTACATATCCGTTATTGTTAATTTGCAAATTGCATTTGGACTTTTTATTAAAATGCCAAGCTCGTGCTGCATTTTGTATGCTTTCATTTCTCGGCTATTTGTGAGCCGATGCGGGGAAATTGGAAAATTGCATAAATAAAGCATGGGCAACCGAGAGGCGGTTGGGGAAAATGCTGTGGCATGTGTGTGGGCAGCTGGGCAAAAAGAAAAAAAAAAAAGAAAAACCATTCAACCTTAGCCGCGAGAAATGGCGAAATAAAACCAACTGAATGCCCATTTGCAATCTCGCTGGCAAGGAGCAAATAAAAAAGCGATGCAGCGATGTTTACGTTCCAAAATAAAAATTTAAACGAAGCAAATTAAAAATACAAATTAAGCTAACGAGCGTTTATTTGGGTTTTAAAATGGGTCAATTAAATGTTTTAGCTTGAGTTAATTAAAGAAAGATATATAGATAAGACAAGGTAAACAAAAATTAATCAAACATATAATATTATCTGGCTCATCTAGAAATTCCTTTAAATATAGGATACAAGTTCGTCGAAATTAAATCCCTTCGCTAGTATAATTTATTCGCTTTAAATACTTGACTTTTTTGTGTTTTCATTTTATTGTTTATGCATGTTTGTGTCCAACAATATATTATTGTTATGCATAGAATTTGTTGAGTAGCCGTTTCTGCATGAATATAGACAGTGCCATAAATTGACGTCTATATTGGAGCTTTGCTACATAGATATATGTGTATACCCCAGTCTATATATAAGTATAATGAAAAATATTTACCACCGGAGCCAATGGAGGCAGTTGCTTGTGCATCTATTCGATTTTCTTTACATTTTTTTTTATTTTTTTAAGGCGGCTGCGTTGTCAGTCAATGTAGCCAAATTAACAACCAAGCAGTTGTTGCACGGTTGTTTTATTTTCGTGTGCGTGTCCCCAAAAGTTGTTGGCTCTCTCGGTTTGTCATGCATTTTAAAAATAGGGAAAGTAAAAATATTCTGGACAGAGTGCTGCGCACTTTGAAAATACGAAATAAGATTTATGGTTCGCGGTACTTGGCCAGAAAATCATAAAATTCCCCAAAAGCAATCAATCAAAACAATTATGAATTCAACAATGCTCAGTAGGCTTTGGTTATGAGAGATTTTGGTTGTTTTAAAAATTCTTAAAAAATTATTAGGCAGTTAGGTAAGTGAAAATGCCACCAAAGTCAAAGGCGCCGAAGAAGAAAAAGGAGGTGGACTGGGCCGACGAGGAGCACTTCAGCAAGGAGCGGTCCATGATCTACATAGAGCACACCTACGAGTGTCCCATTTTCCAGACGAAGGCGGATGAATGTGTGTCCTTCCTGCAGCAGCGGATTCCCGAACGGAAGTTCCAGCTGGTGAAGAACAGGTACGGACACCAGGTTCCCAGGGATGGAGCTTTTGAGATCGGGTTCTCGCAGAATGCCCGCACCTCCGTCCACCTTTTGTGGTCGGGATTGGAGCGGGGTCCTCCGCGGCGGGACAAATTCCCGACGGACTACGAACAGATCGTTCCGGATGTGAACAGGATACTCAAGAAGTTCTATCCCGACAAGGCGGTGGGCGTGACCGACGATGAGGACGCGGACGAGGACAAGGACGAGATGTGAACGCACAATCTCGAAATTATCAAAGAAGTGTATTTACCATAACAATGGCGGGAAAAGTAAACAATCAGCCGGAGAGACCTGTTGGAGCGACTTTAAGACGTCATCCGCCCACGGAAATCACTCGGCGATTAGTGCGATTCTTCTTTGGCTTCGTTGGCTTTTGTGCGCGGAATATTGCTCTCATTGTTATTTTGCCCCAACTGACGTCCCAACATCACAATTTGACAGCTCTTTTCACAAGTAAAACGCTTAAATCGACCGGAATAATTAACTAAATACAATACTCGCTCATCAGCAGTTTCAGCAGTTTGTATATATATTATCTATATGAGTTTGTATATATATAGTATGTTCAGTGGACCCCGGGGACATTAGCGACGTCCTATTGTCTGCCAGAGAAATCAAAGCCACGGAATCGGGGGATGTTGTGGGTGTCACTATCTCGTTCACTCGGTGTTGACACAACAAATGTCCCGAACAGAATTCCGATGCACACAATCGAAAAAGAATAATCCAAACAATTTGAATTGAAAGCTGAAATTGAAACAATAGTTGTAGACATTCGCTAAATACCCTTGAACAAATTTTAAATGCTAGATAGATATATCTATATTATTTTGAGCTTTACACTCAAATTATTTGGTATATAGTATTTAAATTATATAATAGAATAAATCTTCATTCTCTGACAAAAGTATTTCCATGTTTGCTTAGCCTCTTGGCCCTCTAATCAATCCCTTGGCTAGTGTATTACCCTAAAAAACAGCACCTAAACCAACTTTCCGTGTGGAGAGGAGTTTGGAAATTGCAACGAGGCAGCACAATGGTCAGCTGGAAATAAATAAATTGGGAAACCGAAATAACATCGACTGAGGGCAACAGTGTTTCGTTTCGCAGTTTCGCAGGGGGAAAAGCCAACAAGTCGTGAAAATCCAAACAAAATTACATTGTTGGCCAACAGCAATGACAATAACGAATACGTATGCCATCCAGCTGTAGGGACGCTTGCAGTTTTCCCTTGGGACTAATGCTATTCCAGCATTAAAACAACAGAGCAGGGTATCCTTTTGATGATTATGAGTATGTGTGTGTGTGTGTGTTTGAGTGTGTGTGTGGGGAAATGCGAAACTATAGCTCTCTCTGGTTGGAGTTTTCCCTTCGCCGGATCAGCATGCAAATTAGTCTGGGTTGCAGATGGTTTTTTGATTGACTGTTATGGTGGCTGACTTCCAGCCATGTTTTTGACGGAGTGGCAGCGGCCAATTTGAATATCACGTATACGCCATGTTCAGCCAAAGAGAACAGAGCACTTTTTTAACTTGACCAGCAGACAAAGGCGATGATGAAGCCAACTTTTAGCATATATTTAGCAACATCCGTGGCGCGGGTCATTAATATTAATATAAAGGCTGTAAAACTGGCAGCCAGAAATAAAACAAAAAAAAGAAAGGCAAACACTTTCGTGCGGCATTCCGCGGATTTCAACAGATTTTATGCGACCGGCACAAAGAGATGTCAGCGAGACATTTTTCGTGTCACAATTTATTCGGGGTTGCCGTGGCCAGTGTCTCGGAATCTCCGAATCTCGAAATCTCGGGAAATGGGTTAATGTCCAGGCCAGCGAATGGCCATGGACACGTTTTCCGGCGGTGGCAGCGCATCTCGGATCTCGAAACTCAAAACTCAGAGCTTGGATCTGGAATCTTGGTTCTGCCTGCCAGTGACAACGAAGGGGAAAACCGCACGCCAAGGACAAGCCAGGACGATTGCCAAGAATGCCGAGTGCGAGGAGGAGCTTTAATGGAAACAGACCGCAACATTTCGCATTAGACTCTGGAGTAGGAATCCCGGCCAAAAGCGGAGTGGCAGTGGGAGTGCTGCTGGTCCGATGGCCAAAACCCGTTTGGCAAAGCTGCCCAATGCCCAAGGCCTGATGTAAAAATAATCTACGCATCCAGAGCGAAGGTTGTTTGTGTTGTTTTTTGAATTGCATCCGCGGAAGGAGATCCACATTCTGGTTTCCGTTTTCTGCCTTCCTATTCAAACCACGTTCCGTGTGCTATCTTTAGCTCTATCTATCCAATATCCAATAGCACATATCGCATATTCTATATGCTATCTTCCATATTCCTTACCCTTCAGAGGTGGTGCAACCGATTGCAAGCGGATTTAAGGGCCATTTATTTGCCAGCGATGCGAAGGCGCATGGCAAATGCCACAAGCTGCCATTTTAGGCTTGGCATTTGTGGTATTTTCTTTTTTTTTTTTTTATCGCACCTAGTGGCGAGGTCATGTGTGAAGCGGCTGTTAACCGGGCCAAGTCCCCGTCTAATGAGCCAACTGCCAACTACCTACTGGATTGGCCTTTGGCTGATTGCACGACTGAACGCCTTGCAGATTGCATTTGTCGCACCTTAATTAACCAGCCGCGGATGCGATAAAAGGTCAGGCCAGATTTTTTGTTGTGACCTCCTGAACTTTAACCTATTTCCCCTGGGAAGTGCCGTCTTTTATTTACATGCGTGGCGGCCATAAAAGGTTCGTTCGTTCGTTCGGTTTTCCCTGCCTTCCGCCTCGAAGATGATGATGATTTCTTTTGGGGCCAGCGGGAGTCTGGGAAACCATCTAATTAAGCGTAAATTGGCAGCCGCAGAATAGGGTAACTCGCATACTCCGGGGTGTAATGTCCGCCCACGCCCACATTGTTGCTTTTGATATTAACACGAAATTAGTTTTCGGCTAACGCTAATTAAAATTTACGACACCTGTTTTGTTTACAAAATACTCGCATTCGCGGCCAAAACTCCCTTAAATCCCGGGAGCTTAAGTTGAAACATTAAAACGCTTAATCAGAGGATCAAACGGATGAGAAACGCCAAAATAATATTTTTCTATCTTTGCGCTTGGCCTTGAACTTTCGAAGTTGCTTTGGGGTAAGTTCAAACAGGAAAGAAGTTTTGGCTAAAACGGTTCCGTCATTTTAGTAGAAGTACAACTTGCCAAATTTGCATGAGTTAAGATTAATTTGTCATACAATAACAGCAACTAAACTTCAAATTAAAGGGGTAATTATTTTAAATGAGAAATGTTTCTGTTTATTGTCCAAGGCTGATACTTTAAATGAATGCCACTGAAAGGAACAATATAAATTTGCGGGCCAGAAAAGTCTGGCCATTAAAACTCACAGAGAGTATTCCCCTTCCATAGTATAGCTATTCTATAAATAATGAAAGGCACGAAATGCGTAATTGCTGTAAGAAATGATCTGAGGAGATGCACAAAGCAAAATTTACCTGATGCTGGATACAAAATTGTTTTTCCCATCGCCACAATTGCCACAATTGGGTTGGCTGGCCATTCCGAATGAGTGCAAATAATACGTTCGACTTTTTATACTGACTGAGGCTTCGTTTTTATTTAATTTTACATATACTTCTGTTGCTGTCATATGTATATATATAATCTCATAAATTAGTTTGTTGTGTATATATATAGAGATTTTTGTTGGTAATACATTTTTTCCTTATGCCGCAAACGCATATAATTAAATTTCAATATTAATAATGGTATCGTTTTCATTTGGTTTCTATTTGTTTTTGGGCTTGGGTTTTTGTGTTTTTGGGTTTTTTGTCGCTTGAACTCGAGTCCAGTTTTGGGTTCACCAGTTGGAAATATATATATATATATCTGCTATGTACCTATATGTATTTAGACTCGTAGGCGAACTGAAGTAGGTGTAATTTATAACCATACACATGTACACATCTATATATCTGGTAGTTCCTGCCGGAGTCGCGTTGTCATCCTACGCGGGTTCTCATCCACCCGCATCCTCCGATCCCAAACACTATATACTCGACTCGACTCGACTCGCTTTCATTTACATTATACATTTATAACCATAATAATTTACAAGTTAAATGGCTTAGAAATTATTAGTAGGACTTCCTGTGTGGGCTACCATACTCGTACGTACATAATACATAAAACACTTTCTAATTAAAGTTAAAAACATCGTCCTTTGTCGCCTGATCCTACCACTTCCTTGTGGCTCTCTCTTCGTCCTTCGTCCTTCCACTTCTACCTCCTCTTCCTCTGTTTTTGTGTTCGGTTTTTGGTCTATTTACATAGTGACAATCTCTAAATTACTTCGACTTCGTAGTAGCCTTCTTCCGTACCACTTTGTTCTGTATTTACATTGCATATCGATTGAATAAAATGTTTCGCAGACTTTTCTTGACTTTTGGTTTAAGTTAACATAAGAACGTTAAAGGAAAATCCCTCACCAGGTTGTTGTTTTAGGTATATCTTTCATATTCAACATTTAAGAACTAATTTAGTTAAAATACTTGTTTAATTTCGTTAAACTGGGCGCTTTTTGCTTGTGCATTTAAAAATAGTGCAAAAATACATTTGTCAAAAATTTTGGTGCATACTTTGAGGCGGTGCTATATAATCACAACATTTACAATTTAAGTGCATTTGCTTCTCAGTGCGTGAGTGTGTGTGCATATGTGTGTGAGCGTGCAGGGGATGGGGGCGTGGTCACAGGGAAGGGGGCATAGTTAAGACCTAATTAAACTCGAGAGTCGAACTCCTCGGCCTGCTTGAGTGTTTTGTGGAGGATTCCGCTCAAAAGTGTCAATTGAGGACGGATTGCTTTTAAGCCTTGATTGTGTGCATGTTCTAGGGAATGTATGTATTCAGCCCGCCCACACGCCCCTTATTGTTGCAGTGGGCGTGGCCAATCGTGGTAACTCCCACATACATTTCGATTTGCATTTAAGGTACTTGTGACTACTTATGTTTATAGCTCGAAAATATTCACTTGATTCCATTAAAACTGGCCATTCCTGATGATCGGGTTTTCGGGGACTCTGATCCCTGTGCGTCCAAAGCTAAATGGGGATTTATGTTTTTTTTTAGGAGGGGATCTGGAGTATTGGGGGTTCTGGTGCCGTGGAAGACTGATCTGCTGGCCCCACCAACTCGAGATGGCTTCCTTCCTGCTGGGAGTATCTTTCTGTGCTGATCTGTGCAGTTACTAGAACAACGATGCACATAAAAAGAATCACTAATTAATCAGGCTCTAATGCGAATTCAGGTGTCCTTGTTTCCATCATAATTTTTAGCTAAGTGCAATTGCGGTGCATGTCAATACATATATAACTTGTGTGTTTCATTTTTCCCTTTTTGATTTGGTATAATTATTTATCACATAAAATGTGCAACAGTGCAAAAATTGTTTATGCTAATTGTTTGTCTTAATTTGTCCCGCTAATTGTTTCAATCGAACATAATTTATTAGAGCTGGCGAGAGTGTGTGTGTTTTGGCTTGTGTAAGTTGTCATGGAATTTTAATGAGTTGCATGAATACTTAATGGGTGCAATTAAGTTTGAATTAATAAATACGAGCATGCTTGGCTGGAAGTAATTGCAACAAATTAGATGGTAATTTGGGAAAAAATTATTAAAAACCAATCAATAAAAAAGTTGTTAGAAACTAAAAGTTATAAAGGCTGCTTTTGGTTAACAGATACTTCTGAATCCCTTCAACTGCTTGTAATAAATTTCCAAAAATGTTGTTAAATTTCTAAAGCTCTTCACTTTCTTTCAAATTGATTTTGGCTGGTCAAATTGCATTTGTAAGTAATTTATTTTCGGCAATTTGCATGCAAAGCGTTACAACTTACTCAAAGATATTTTCTAGCGACTTGTTTGGAATCTTTTCATAGACAGTTTTATCAACTTTTGTTTATATTTAAGTGGTCAGCGATAAATGTTTACGTGAAGCGGATTAAAAGTGGCGTTGAATTGCATCAGTGGCTCTGGTTGTTTTCGCATTGAGTGCGGCTTTTCGTGGCATGGCCATAAAAAGCTGGCCCGAATCAATGGCTACAACACCTGATGCCCATTGAAGGCCACTTTAGGTCCAAGTCTTTTTTACCTGCGGCTTGTTAATACTCGTTGTTGCCGCGTTGCATGCAGCCTCCAATGCCTCAATAAACTCTTTTCACGCACAAACTTTTCAACTTTCGTTCAGGTGCATCTTAGATCTTACTAAACACGGTTCTACATCGAGTACATATGATTTACTTGTTGAATATTAGTTTCAAGCGATGGCTAACACTTTTGTGCTCAGCAAAAGCGAAAATATTATGTGGCTACACCTAGTTTTACTAACATTTATATTTTATTTGTGGTTATTAATATATTTCTTACTCTTGTCGTTCGTTGACCGCTTCTTAACCTTGTCAATTTCAATTTCAAAATCGCAATACCAAATCCTTTCCGTTTTTTGCAAACACTTTACATTTACTTCCATTAAAGTTGACATTTGTGCTTCGACTTAGTTGTGTGTACTTGACTTGGGGAGTAATATAAAAGCATAACTATTTTCTAGACCTCGTTGAAAAGTTTGTCTGACCGCCAAGTGAAGAGCTCCATGTGGCCAAAGGACCAAAGCCCGCGCAACTTACCAAAGGCATTCAGCAGGGATCCAAGGATTCCTGGCATAATCTCAAACTTTGCGGCTTCAGGTGCTCTTCAGCGGGGGAAAAACAAAAGCACTCGGGAAAGTGTTCCTAGTTTGCCACAACTGAACTTCTACTTTTCTGCATTACGAACTTAAAAAGGTAAATATGTGCTCGGGGTTTTGGATCCATGAGAAGGTTATTGTTTGGTATTTGATCGCCTACACATGCCTTTGACTTACTTGTTTTTCTTCGTGTTTGTGTTGTCTGGTGTCGTTGTTGTTGTTGTTGTTGTTGTTGTTTGTGGAAAGAAAATAATATATACTGGCTAAGTATTCCAAAATCTTGTGAGCGTAACGAAGAGAAAATCAGAAATGCATGTTTGGGTTTCGTTTTCAGTGTATATTAAGTTGTGTATTTGTTTTTCATTTTTTCTTTGTTTTTTTGTGTATTTTCTTGGGTTTTTTTTCTGCATTATCATATATTCGTATAATATATAATTAATTATTATAAGTAGTTAAGAAAACTGTTGTTTAAATTAAAAGAGGGAATTATGCTAAAACTATACCTCCTACACAAGTGAAATTAGTGTGAGAAAGATAGAGACAGAGACAGAGACGGCGAGATAAAAAAGAGGCAGGCAAAAATTATTTACAGCAAATACTAATTAATAGGAGTTTTGGACAAGACGAAATCAATAAAATTGATAGACCGTAATTTCTTTCGATAATTTGTGCGAATGGCATTCGCTTTTCTTGATGCCATTGGCTACTCATAGTTAATTATACCCTCCATCTTTCTCTTTGATGTTGTTTTCTTTTTTTGTTTTCATATTTCATATTTCTTTTCTCGTCTGCAAATATACAAATACAAATAAATACAGGTTTAAGGGCTGTCGAGTGTACTATATATTCTTATATATACGTTTATACTTGTATGTGTGTATGTACCTATGGTTGTTTTGTATATGTGTATGTGTCTTTTTTTAACATTCAACAATTGTGTTTTTCTTTTTTTCTTCAGCTTTTGTTCTGCATTTTCTCTTTTGGGTTTTCCTCGCTAATTTGCCTCTCGCTTTACGTTGTATTCAAAAAATAAACTTTTAACTAAATACTCTACAAGTGTAAAACGTTCGAAATCAAAAATAAAAACTTTATGTATTCTTATGTAATTTAGACGTAATAAGTTTATTTACAAATTGTTCTTTTTATACACAATACTGTTTGCTATGAGAGCGTACAAGACGCAAAGGCGTAATTAGAAAAATAATCCTTTTTTAACAGGCAGGAAAGTAATGGAATAAAACACAAGTATATAGGAAAGATAATTGAAACGTTATTAAACGATCTTCGTTAGTACTTCGTTCAATCAGAACCTAAAATCAATTGGGAGCTCTTCGTTAGCTTTTGTTATTTACAGTCGAACTTATGTCATTTCCTTTGGTTTGTCCCTATAGAAGTTGTCGTTTAGCTTTTAAAATTTCAATCTTGTTTTTGTTAGGATTATAGAAAAATAGGCCAAAAATATATGTATTTGTATGTCTGTGTGTGTGTGTTCTTTTTTCTATACCTTTACCTCAATTGTCGTTCGTTCAAAAAATGTGATTAAAAGTTTTGTTCGTCTTTGATTTGTTTTCTGGTTGTTTTGTCCTCTGGTTGTAGTATTTAGTGCGCTTCTGTTCTTTTTGTTTGGATTCTCGATTTGTGCATAATTTCAAGGATTACATTTAGTTGCATATACATTCATTATTCGTATTCGTATTCGTATTCGTTACGGTAGTTATCTTTTTTATCTTAGAGTTATACACACGTTGTCTTGCGTTTAGTATCTTCGTATGGTATAGAAATTGTTATTATTAATTTACTTTCATTTATATTTAAAGGTGGGTTATTTTGCAGTTATTTATGTTTAATGTTTTACTGAACCAATAAATTAAAAGAAAACACCAAGGTTGTCTCCTATATATGTTTGTTTTTTGTTTTTGGTTTTTTTTTTTTTTGCTTTTGGTTAATAACGAAGATCGTTGATATAGGAGGGCAGGAGTTTGGGGATCGATGTGAAATAAAAACTTACTCGTAAACGTATTCTCAATTAGATTTATATAATTTGTTTGCAATTTTTTATACGTACTGTGTATAAGATATGAAATTTTATTGCTCGCAATTTCATATGTTATTCCATTTAAAATAATTAAACGTGTTTAGGTTTTTACACAAAGCAATTGAGTAACATGCATACATTGGACCGAAAAAATAAAAGGGAAAATATCGATTGATTGCGGATCCGTGAAATGAAGCGCTATTAAAACACGCATCTTGTGCAACCGGCGGTTGAATGAAAAACGGAAATTGAACTGGGAAATTCCGAGGGAAACGCAGGAAATGCAATGGGTGAAAATCGCTTTAGAGTGTACTCATTATTATTGTATATGCGCCATTTATTCGCTTGCGTTTATCTTTCCGTTGTTATTTGTTTGCATACACAACCGTTTAAAAATTTTAATTCGTAAATTTCGGCTTAAAAATTTGCTTGATTGTATTTCTTAATTGATTGATTGTGTTGGGAACTCGCCCCCTTTAAAAGGCGTAATAAAAGCGAATAATTTCTTTGACCAGAACATTATTGGTTTAAGGTTGAATTTTCAGCGTTTCCAATTGAGAGAACAGCGAGAATAAAATATACAAAATGAGTCGAAATAAAAACAATTATGGTTTGGATAAAAGGTCGAGACTGGATAAGTGTTATTTAGCATTTTTACAAGACTTTCGTTTTCGCTTAGAAGCTTATCGGTTTATGTATATTTATAAGTCCATTGTTATTTAAATATACGTTAATTATGTAAATAAATTTACTTAACTACAGATAGCTGCCGTTTCCGTGAGAACTGTTGTCACTCATGAACAAACTAAAAACTTTGGTGGAGTTGGGACAGATCTTTACAGTCAACCAAAGGCGATAATTGAAAGTATTATTTACACACATGATGGAAATTAAAACATAGCAAATCATTTATAGTGGCAAAAGTATTTTTAATAATGAGAAAACCCTAAACAAAACGAAACGAGTTAATGATTTGAAGCCTCAACTATCGAACAAAACTGGGTTTTAATGAAGTCAAGTCTTTTTCTTTATGTAAATGTTTTGCTTCATCGTCTAAGTTGTAAATGTTTGTTTTTGTCGCTAATCTTGCTGTTATTGCATTGTATATAAGTATTTTATATTGCACTCATTAGCTTGTTCAGTTATCAGCAATAAAACCTAATGCAATATTTTCCTTCAATTGTATATTTGTTTGTTATCGGTATATGTATACTATTAATATATATTTAATGTCGGTTTTTTTTCTGTGTATATGTATATATAATTTCATTCTTCTTTTGCTTGCTGCCTCATCGTGTTTTTATCGCTTTATTTTCTGCTTGCTTCGTTTTGATTTCATTTCATTTGGTTTATTTAACATTTAAACTTTAATACACGTATAATTAAATAATGTACACGAAATATATTTCATATAGTAAGATATATTTATAATATATTTGTTTAATATATACTAAAAATAGTTAGGCCCAATTTTGTTTTTCCTCATCATTTTTTTTTCTGTTCCTGCGAAACAAATTGAAAACGAAAAAAACCGCTCGATTTTGTCTTATTTTTGTTGTCCTTTTTTTGGTTGAATTATAATTTAGCTTTAATATGTATAACTGCATTTTGTTCTTGGGCTTTCATTAAGTTAATTTTAATAATAATAGTGTAATAATAATCATACCTTTTCATTAAGCATAATTGCTGCCTCATTTTGTTTTTAATCATAGCTTTCTGTTCTCTTACTTGGCAATCCAATCAGCTTTCTGCAAGCTGCACTTTTCTTTTGTTTTCTTTTTTTTTTTGTATCGGTATCGGCTTTTCTCGGGAATTTATCGGGAGCTCTCCCCTCTCGTCTCTCAAAGGACATTCGGGTGGTTGGCTTGTCAGTGTGAGTGGTTTTTTCTGAGTAATGTTTAAACTTAATAGGGTTTGCTTGACTCGGGTCACGTAAAAACTAATTTTTGTCATTAATGTTTAGAGTGAGTTCTTTAGGTGTACTTGTGTGTGAGTGTGGTGTGTTTTCTGTGTCTTAAAGAGTGTCTTTCTGTGTGTGTGTGTGAAGGGGTGTGTGTGTGTGTTTGGTGGGTGGGGGTGTAGCTTAACGCCCTCGCGCCCAGCGCAGTAACGCATCCGCTAACACATCCAAGTGAGCCTTCGTCTGCAAGGAAACAAGATAAATCGAAGGCGAAGAAACACGATTAGTATTGTGACATTAAGTATACGCCGTGGTGGCTCTCGCAGAACTTACCGTCTTGTAGAACATGCAGGACCTCCGGTCCTCGTCCTCGCCGTCGGGACAATCGATGAAGCCGTCGCACAGCACATGATCGTCTATGCAGCGATACCTGCCCTGCCGGTCGGGAATCGGGCAGGCGAACCGTTCCATGCCATCCATGGCGGTGGGACATTCTGCAAACAAAAAAAAAACGGTTGACAGTCAGTCAAAATGGCTTTCTTTTGGAACACAATCCCCCCAACCCACATAGCCCCTGCATAAAATCCCTGCCAGGTAAGAAGCACCGAAACTTTAGCCATAAATCGTTCAGCGAAAAACTTTTGCACACGCTAATGTCTGCCATGATTTGCGTCTAAATGTTGCAACTTGCTGGCCGGCGCATAGAAGTATGCTACGTTTCTACGTATTTTTCCCTACCAGCTGCACTTTTGTTTGTGTGGCCGCTTAGCAGGTTTTTCTGCTGTTATAAATAGTTTCACATTCGCTACTTTACTACTTTCTGCGGCTGATTCTGCTCTACTGGGGAAATGGAGGGCGGATTTAGGAGGAGGAGGAGGGGCTTGGGGGGAAATCCTGGCTTGGCTGGCTTCGCTTGCACCGACGCCGCCGCCGCCACCGCCGTCGAAAACAACAAAAACAACTACTGAAATACAAACTTTACTTTTTGTGGCATTTCACTTTGTGCTGCTCGCCTTTTCTCCATTCTCGTTTGCCATTTTTTTCCTCTTTCTCCCTTTTTTTCTGCGCTGCCTTCCACCAACAAATACATAAAAATAAATCACTTGTAGGACATGTTGGCGCCTCCGGTTTAGTTTTGCTGGCACATGTGTGTGTGTTTGTGTGTGTGTATGCCGGTTGCATGTTTGTATATTGGGATCTGCTGTTCAAGTTGTCCGTATAGGTTTACCCACCACCCACCACCCTCTTTTCCTCAACCACTCCACCCCCTTTTCCCCAATTGCCATTTCCGCCGCTTGTCGTCTTGCTCTTGCAAAACTTTCCTGTGCTATTTTTGGCTGCATCCAAAATATTCTATTTTATTCTATTCTGCTCTGCTCTGCTCTGCTCTGTTCTGTTCTGGTTTTTGCCACGCGACCAGCTTTGCCACTTAATAATTCGGTGCTTTAGTTCTGGTTTATCCGGGAAATAAACAGCACTTGGCAGGCCTACGGGTATTTAATTAGCAGGTGTTTTAAGCATCAGCTTAACAAGGATTTAATCTATTTCTATCACGGCCCCGAGGAGGGGTCATTAATTAGTTTTATCTGGCACACAAAACTGTTTTCATTATTTTTAACTAGCATTTCATTTGATCATAAACTGGAAACTAAAAGGCAATTAAATGAAGCGCCACTTTGATTGATTTATCGGTAAACAGTTCTCACTTCAAAAAAAAAGCTTTACTAACAATGATTGGTTTAATTGGGAAATTCAATCAAATGAGTTTGTGACATTTGAGTTTGATTCGAGGAGATACTCCCAATTCATTCACTTCCCCTTTAAATGCTAACTCTGATAACTCTGCGATTTTTTTAATGTCATTGCTGCAATCAACATTTTCTATCGAATGAGATGTTTCATTAGCAACTGTCGCAAGCGCTCCTTAAATTAATTTTATTTCTCCCGCTCACGCTGAAGTCGTGCCAAGTGCAAACCATTCATTAAGTTGATCTGTCTGCCCGAAACTAAACATGAGTGCTGCTCCTGCTGCTCCTGCTACCCTTCAGCTGTCAGCAGTTGCAATTCAGTTGTTGTGTGTGTGTGTGTGGCAGTTGCAACACCACCTGACACAGCATAAATGCAGTGCAGCTGAAACCCGACACTCGACTGTTTGTTTGTTCCCCGGGAATGTTGTTCGGCTGTCAGCGGGGGAATCTATTGATGTCTTTCTACAGCAGAATAGCAGAAAATTCAACCAGCCACCTGCCTCTTTCACCTGGGGATTCCGACTCCAACTGCGTGGCGTGCCAAAGGGCCATTTGCATTGTGAAGAGGGCCCACCACCTGGGTTACGGTTATGATGACGATGATTCAGTTAATGCTGAGTGCTGAATGGCGAATGGCAAATGGTGAATGGTGAATGGCGAATGGCGATGACAATGTCTCACGATTGTCATTTATCAACTCCGTTGGTCGCCGCATAATTGCATCAATGGACACTTGATCACGTTTTTAGCTTAGGAGAAAGGGGTTCAAGAAAATGTCTGAATATGCACTGCTTTATGCTGATTTTCTGCATACATTACGCATACGCAGTGTTGTCTCGCGACCAACGAATGCCATTAGTTTTATTGCCAGTTGTTCTGGCTGTTTCTGCAACCCACATTTTGTACTTTGAACTTAATTTCACACACAAATAACTTGCAAATTGTTGCAGCTCTGTAAAGTTGAGGGAAATTTCGGTTGCATTTGTTGGCTTGCTCTTTTTTGGGCCAAGTGAGCCAAGCTCCAGCCCGAGCACCACCCAACAACCCATCGACCCACCGAACCACCGAGCCAACGAACCACCCACCCACTCAGTCAGTCAGTCAGTTAGCTAGCTACTGAGGCTATTGAACTTTAAATTGATTTTTGCGCTTGTTTGCTAGTTTTGCTCGCCTCCTCCTCCTCCTCTTCTTCTTCTTCTTCTCTGTTGGGCGGGTGGCTCGAATTGCAGCTAACCGGTGGGTCTGCCTTTCGGTTCTTCTCCTCTCAAGCTTCTGGTGGTGCTTCTGGTATTGCTTCTTCTTCTTCTTTTGCTTCTGCCTCTGGCTCTGGTGGTGCTTATCGTTGTTGCAATAAATCGAAATAGGCGACGCCACCTACAATTCTGCCTTGGGACAGGGTGAATGGCATACTTTCCAGTGGACGGGCCAAATTAAGCCGCTCTGATATGCATTCCAACTGTTTTATATATATTATTGAGCGATAAACAATCAAACTACGAGAAGTGTGTCACACTGAATATTCGTGCAGGGAAATGTTTGAAGTACTAGTTTTTTTTTATGGAGCTCATAACATGCAAACTATTTAGTTAAAAGCTAACTATATCCAGAAATTAGTTTTAAATTTCCCTCAGTTAACTTTAAATTAAATATCTATACAGCTAGCTATGCTGTTAAGAAAATACAAATCGTACTTAGCATTTTACACTCTTCCTTTTACTTTATTCCAGCAACACCGTTCTGAGAAACTAAGAGCTACTCACTTACTATTTTATCCCCTTGAACCACTCTACTTTTATGACAGACGGTAAAAGGATAAAAAGAGCTACTCTCGCAGCTTTCTCCGACTGCAAAACAACATCGCCAAAGATATAATCACATGTCAACAATATCCACTTGCAATACCCGATGGAGATTGTGAAACTTCTTATGACGTTCGAGTGCATTTCGCTATGCAAATCAGGCGTCGCACGAGGCAACTGTACCCAAAGTTTCAGCTCCGCCATTCCGAGCTTAAGAGAATCAACGCATGTTGACACTAAGACACCCGGAAACAGCAACACCAGCAACCCCAACAACAACAACAACGTGAACAAAATCTCCAACAGCAACAACAGCAATGATGGCTAACAAGCCACAAGAACAACAACACGTCGGGTGTCAAAAAATCAAAAGCATAAAAAGGATTTGGCTGTTGCCAAGCCAAGGAGCTATAGCAATGGCTATATACTCGCAGATGTGGTTTTAGCGAGGGGGAGGCGAAGGGGAAGGGGGATGGTGAGGTTTTAGCCAAAAAGTGCCAACTGATGCTATTTTCGTCGCACGACAGACGTATACGTGGCGTATACGTAATGCAGGAGCTGTGAGCTTCGCGGAGAGTTCGTGGCGAAAAATAAGTCCCAAAAATTTGTAACAAAGTTCGTGGCTCGGCGAGAAAACCTTTTGCTCCCACCCACACACACAAACACACACACACACACATACATATATATAGGGACAGGGATCTGAAAGGATATGACGATGGAGATGTAAGAGCAAAAGGACGAGTGCTGCAAACGCCTGTTGTCTCGTCAGCGTGGCGCCTAAAAGGCTGCCAACAATAATAACAAAACCCACGAAAAGAGAGCGAACTGCACACACACACAGATGCATTCGATGCGTTTGTGTGTGTGAGGGCGTCAGTGTGCAGGAAGCGCCAGCCAAAGGAAACAGCGCGCAACGATTTTGCAGCAATAAATTGATAGTTTTATGTGGCGCACATAAACAGGAGAAGGCGGCCAAAGGAGCGCCAAGGATCGAAGAATAGTGGGCGGCAAGTCCTGGGACATTAAACTCGCGTCTTTGCACCCACACACCCACACACTCACACACCCACACACACATACATAAAGTATTTCGGATAAGGATTCTAGAAGCCCCGCCTCGTGCATATTTTTGGGCCGTAAATAGCAAAAGACAATGCATAAAACAAATGGCTGAGCAAATTTATAAATGACAACTACAAAATTGATGGGCATATTCCTTTTTTTCCCCGGCGACCCCTCCATCGATTCGTTGCCATCCTCACAATTTGTCGTGCTGAAAATTTCACTTTTTGGGGGGCCCAAGTTATTTTCCTCCTGGTGTGTGGCATTATTGTCCCTCATCAAACGTGAATTCACTGTTTGTCAAGTTTTAACACGGAAAGCCGGACAGCCAGCAACAAATTAAGGTGTTCCCGGAATAAAATAAGACGCTCCTGTCATAATTTGTTCGCCTTTTTCCCTTTTGCCATGGCCGTAATAAGGTTTTGATTAAATTTGCCACTCAAATGTATTTGCCAGGCGAAAATCTTCCGTTTTGCTGTCTATTATTTTAGGACTTCTGTTGCCGGGGATCGTCTTTCTTCGTCATCGTTTTTTTTCTCGGGTTTTTGGTAGCTTCCAGCATCTAGTTCTCCCCCCTCTAGTCACTTCAATTAATTTAACATATTTTTTCGTCCTTCCAGCAAGAATCCCACGTACTGTGTACGTACAAAAAATGGCCGCAGGTTAGCTTTCCTTCATTTTGTTTTCCTTTTCGGGCGCTTTGTTTTGCTTTGTAGGGCGTAAAGAATACGCTATAGAGAGCGGTAACGTAAACAGCCGCCAGGTGGCGCTTTGGTGGTGTGGGTGTGCAGCCAGCTACTCCCTCAAGGTACATTTTGTTTTCGGATCGCATTTATTGTAATTTAATAAGCCCGTTTTGAGCGTTATACGTTCTACATTCCA